TTTGCAACTGAATGGATCTTGTAGTTGACAATTTACTATCACGCTGTCTGTAAGATATTTATTAGGATAGCTTAACACTGCCAGTGCTCACTAGAGAAGACGAAAACATTCCTCATTAATTGAAATAGCAAAAATTATTTTTCAGGAATAGATTTTGTTGAATAAAAAACATGTTGACAACTGTAAACATATACAGCATTCAGTACTAGGTGAGTGATATCTGATTACTATCAGATGCAACAATAAAACAAGTTGGGTTTTTTTTTTCAGTGACAAAAGGAAACATGAAACTGATACTTGGAACAAATAAACCAAATCACTAAGCACAGAATTTTTTTTAAAGCACCCTGATATTTGCATTAATAGGCATAATGTACAATAATTTTATAGTGTAAATTTCACTATTCTAATACTCAGGTAAATATGCAGATGGTTATTTCCATACAAGGTAATTTTAGAACACCATGAAATTTTACCACTAAAATACATTTCCAGTGTGATTTAATATAACTCCATATACCGAATTTAGTTACAGATTATTTTTAAGTTGAAATTTAAGAGAAATATTAAATTATTTTTAAAAGCCTATTAAGTGCAGAGTAGAATTTAATAAAAAAATTTATAAGAAACCAAAAATGCATTTTATGGCAAAATCAACTCAATAAAAAGCATACATTTAATTTTGATAAAAAGTTCAACACAAACTTTTTTCTCAAAAGGTAAATTTTTGTTTAAAATAATTCATTAATTGATGAAAAAGGAACTTCACAGGTTCTTACGTGGCAATTTTATTTATAACAGGGTGTATGGAGCTGATCATACTAGAAAACACTCCCTGAATATCAGGAAATATTAAGATACGGTTACTTACTAAGCAGCAAGGGGGGGAAAAAATACCAAGTTCCTGTTTTTATGAAAAGCCCATGTTACGGTATCTTTCCCTACATCAGTAAGTTAACTTATCAAACTAAAGTCCCACTTGAGTAGAATTATTATTTTTACATTACAAAGGAACAGATGAATACAGCTGGGCTGGCAGTGAACTTGGCTGCCACAGACAACTCAAGGAGGCTGCAGAGAAGCTTCCCGCTGCCGTCCACAGGGGAGGGGGACTCAGGGGGACAGAGAGCGGACGGAGCACCCCGGGAGCGGACCCCGGTTCTGCTTGGCCCTGCCTTTCCCTGGCAGTTCGCCTTAGACAGACGAGCCAGCTCACTTCCCAAACGTTGGTGTCTTCCTCCGTCTGCCCAGCGCCCCGAGACCCTCCAGTTCTACAAGAGCAGAATCAGGCGGCATCTACAAAGTGAGGAAGAAATAAAAGCAGCCCTAGTGTGACTTGAAAAAAACAACAACAACAAACCAACACCATCGCGGCACAAATCTACAAAACGGCTTGTAACTTGCAACGTAACGTTTCCAGAGCTGAATTCCTCGCTCTTGGAAGCGGTCCCAGGACGGATTTCACCAGGGAGGCTCT